AAACCCTAAACCCTAAACCCTAGAAAAACTCTAAACCCTCACTAAACCCCCACCTGTCTGTACACAGTAAAAAAATAAAAGTAAAGACAAAGACACATCAACCATCCTTCACTGCTGCAGTTTGCTGCTGCAGCAGTTTGCTGCTGCAGCAGTCTGCTGCTGCAGCAGCAGACTGCAGCAGCAGCAACCTGCTGCAGCAGGTTGCTGTCGGTGCGTTGTATGTGTACACCTTAAAAGAGTGTCTCCTTCACTGTCTCCTTTTCTGTCTCCTCCCTTTCTGTCTCCTTTCTGTCTCCTTTTCTGTCTCCTTTCTGTCTCCTGTTCTTCCTTTCTGTATCCTTTTCTGTCTCTTTTTCTGTCTCCTTTTCTGTGCTAGCTGTTCAGCTAGCTGTCTAGCTAGCTGTCTAGCTAGCTGTTTGGCTAGCTAGCTATTTAGCTAGCCAGCTGCCTAGCCAGTCAGCTGTTCAGCTAGCTGTCTAGCTAGCTGTCTAGCTAGCCGTCTAGCTAGCCGTTCAGCCAGCTAGCTGTTTAGCTAGCTAGCTGTTTAGCTAGCTAGCTGTCTAGTTAGCTGTCTAGCTAGCTAGCTGTCTAGCTAGCCAGCTGTCTAGCTAGCCAGCTGTCTAGCTAGCTAGCTTTCTAGTAAGATAGCTGTCTAGCTAGCTAGCTCTCTGTCTCGCTAGCTAGCTAGCTGTTCTCTAAGCTAACTGTCTAGAGGTGTCTAGCTAGCCAGCTAACCGTCTAGCTAGCTAGCTGTCTAGCTAGCTAGCTAGGCAGCTATCTAGCTAGCTGGGTTCTATAAACAGGAACTGAAAGTAGAGAGGAAAGAAACGCATAAAGAAAAACAAAACAAAAAAAAACAAAAAAAAAACAAAAAATAAATAAAAGAGAAGAGAAATAAATATACATAAATATAAATATAAGTATAAATAAATATAAGTAAACATAAATAAATAAATAAATAAATTTATATTTTTGTTTTGCATGATATTCATAGCGGTGATGTTGCTGCTGCTGCATCTTCCCTTTTTTGCTGCTGCTGCTGCTGCTGCAGCAGCATCTGTTGCTGCTGCTGCTGCATTTGCTGCTGTTGTTTTTTTCCTACGACAGCAGCACTCGTTGCTGCTGCTGCAGCTGCTGCTGCTGCAGCTGCTGCTGCTGCAGCTGCTGCATCTTCTCCCTGCAGCAGCAACCCCTCCCCCTCCCCCTGCTGCTGCTGCTGCTGCTGCTGCTGCTGCTGCTGCTCGTCAAGTATAGCAGCAAGCTGCTGCTCCAGGGTGTCTAGCTTCGCCCCCATATCATCTAACCTATTAAGAATGTTGCTGCTGATAGCAGCAAATTTGCTGCTCATCTGCTGCAGCAGCAGACTCAGTGCTGCTCCTACTTCTTCCTCTCCTGCTGCTGCTGCTGCTGCTCCTGCTGCTGCTGCTGGAGCAGCAGCAGCAGGAGTTGTTTCAGCAGCAGCAGCAGCAGCAGCAGCAGCAGCAGAAGATACAGCTAGTACTGGCATCCCTATACCCAAAGAACGAGAAACAGAAGACCCTGCAG